CTTTACGAGATGGAAACAATTGCAATAATTTTTATTTGTCACATAATCATATTTATTTAAATATATTTTAGAAAAGTAGCTATATTATTATTTCTATACAAAAACAACATCACTAAAGAAGCTGCTTGATAATTTAAAAACGTGAAAATATTTTTTCTTTGTTAATCGTCACAGAAACGACCAGGACATCAGTGAATGTTAATTGACAGAAAATGTCGGTTGTCTCTGTGTCTTTATTGCTACATCTCGTTGAACCCAGCTCTTGTGTCACGTAAGAGTCTGTACGTGTCTTATTTGACTAGTTAAACCTAGATTATCGATTATGGAGAATACGAAACAAGATACTCAGTTTCAAAAACAAACAAACAAATATATATTAGTGCACAAATAGTTAGATATATTTCAAACAATTCTTACCATAAGGCCAACTGTAAAACAATAATATTCGTCTCCAGTTTTAGACTCCAGGAGATATTGACTTTTTTATGGTGGATAAGAAATACTTTTTCACTACATCATTAGGGTTAGATTCCAATAGCTAAGGAATTTAGATGGTTGACCAGAAACAATTATTTACGTCACTAAAGTTAGATTCCAAGAGGTATGAGTTGTATATTGTAGATGGTAGCTCAGAATCAATTGTTATGTCAGTAGGGTTAGGTTCTAAGAGGTATGAGTTGTATATTGTAGATGGTAGCTCAGAACCAATTGTTATGTCAGTAGGGTTAGGTTCTAAGAGGTATGAGTTGTATGTTGTAGATGGTAGCTCAGAATCAATTGTTATATCAGTAGGGTTAGGTTCTAAGAGGTATGAGTTGTATATTGTAGATGGTAGCTCAGAATCAATTGTTATGTCAGTAGGGTTAGGTTCTAAGAGGTATGAGTTGTATATTGTAGATGGTAGCTCAGAATCAATTGTTATATCAGTAGGGTTAGGTTCTAAGAGGTATGAGTTGTATATTGTAGATGGTAGCTCAGAACCAATTGTTATATCAGTAGGGTTAGGTTCTAAGAGTTACATACTTTAGATGGTGCTTATCCAGAAGCATGAAATGAACATTTAACGGAAGCTCTGTACCTGTTTTTGGTAAATAGTGTATTATTCGAACAATGTACGGAGCCACTGTACTTGTTTTTGGTAAATAGTATATTGTTCGGACAATGTACGAAGCCATTGTACCTGTTTTTGGTAAATAGTGTATTATTTGAACAATGGATGGAGACTCTGTCTTGGCGTTTGGTGAATAGTGTATTGTT